CAGCTGAGCCCAGACAAGGTCAGCAGAGCCGCCCAGCTGAGCCCAGACAAGGTCAGCAGAGCCGCCCAGCTGAGCCCAGACAAGGTCAGCAGAGCTGCTCAGCCAAGGTTGGCAAAGCCACTCAGCTGAGCCCACCTGTAGATCTAGGAAATAAATGTTGTTGTTTTCGGGTGGCTTATTGCACAGCAATTCTGTGTGAAAAACTGATACACTTCCCTCTCTGACCTCCAATTAACTTTTCTGTAAAACAAGGAGTTTCATTTGACCCTCTCTACCACGCCCAGCAGAAATAGGTGGTTCATGTGTCTCAGATGGTCCTTCTCAGACATCACCACCTCTGACCTTTTTGATTACTGAAGCTATATCTAGCATCTACCCCATGGATGGTATGTGATGTGAGCCGAGGTACTTACAGGCTTGCAGTTGGTTGGTTTTCCATTCATGTCCATGCTGGGTGGCCTCAGGTAATCCCAGTCGCGGCCCTTGTTGTAGGTTATAAGTGTCATCACTTTCCCATCAATTTTTTGGTTTGCCAGGAAAACTCCTTTCACCCCTCTGACCTGAGATAAAAATACAAGAAGGACTGTAACCTTACACTGGAGCACTCTGATGACCATGTATCCACCGTCCTCCAGCCCACATGTGGCCTCATTTCACACTCACAATGGCCAGCAGCTGAGACACATTCTGGAGGTGAGTGAGGTTTAGAGGGACAGAGATCCAAGACTCCGGCCCCAGCTTTAATGGGAAGCTAGTTCAGTCTAGCTCTGAAGCCTGAATGATCTTCATGGTGCTGAGCTGTTCTCCCAGGTCCAGATACCAACCATCAGATGGCAAGTGGGGTTCTGGACCCCTGGCCTGCCTGTCCCTCAAACTCACCCCATCCTTGCCTCAGAGGTCCTGATTCAGAGCTCAGATCCCCCCAGTGCCTCTTGTTTCTATTGGACCATGCATCCTGGACCAATAGAATTGCCTCTGGGCTTGCCTCTGGGGACCTCCAGCTCAATTCCCATACAAACATGCCAAGGAATGAAGACAGGAGGGTCCATGCTTCCACTAGAACACCCAGGACAGGGCTCCACTTGCCTTCAGTGCTCAGAGTTAACCTGGTCCCTTTCTCAAGGTTTCCTAAGAGGCCCATGGCAGTGACCCAAATGTCCAAGAGTGGTTACTAAGTTGACCTATAAGAAACGTGCAACTGTCGGCAACTTCACATAGTTCAACCGAATGGTTTGCTCCCAGAGAGGGTCTTTTCCTGCAAGTTCCTTATTTCATGGAGGGTTTTGACTCATATTTATCAAGATCCACTAGTGTGGTGTGAAGAGGCAGAAGAACGCCCACCACTTGTCAAGGCCTCCTGTGTTCCAGGCCAGAAACTGTTTCTACACCTGTATATGCAACCTGCACCATGGGAAACTGAGGCTCAGAGGGGGTGCCACCTGCCCAAAGGCCCATAGCCAAAAATTCTAGTTAGGATAGTAATGGCATACAGTTATTAAGTGCTTCTATGTTACAGGCACTGAGCTTAACACATGTCCTCTCACTGAATTCTCATAACTCCAGCAGGTCCTCAAGGGGAGAAGAACAGCAGCCATGATGATGAAACCAGAGGACTGGGGTCTGAGCTTCCTGCAGCTGCTATAACAGATGGTCACAAACCCAGTGGCTTCAGACAACACACATGTATTCTCCCACAGCTCTGGAGGGCAGAAGCCTAGCATGCAGCCACAGTCAAGTGTCAGCAGAATCACATTCCTTTCTGGAGGCTCCAAAGGAGCATCCCTTTCCTTGTCTTTTCCAGCTTCTAGAGGCACCAGCATTCCTTGGCTAATGGCCCCTTCCTTCGTGTTCAAAGCCAGCAATGCTGCATCTCTCTGACCATGTTTCCACCATCACATCTTCTCTATCTCCTGCCTACTTCTTCCAATGTTAAGGACCCGTGTGCTGACCCTAGGCCCCTCCAGATAACCCAGGTCATCTTCCTGTCTGCTGACGAGCAGCCTTAATTCCATCTGCAACCTCATTCCTCCTCTACCACATAAGGTAACATACATGCATGTTCTGGGGCTCACGATGTGGCCATCTTTGAGGGGGGCACTATTCTCTCCAGCACAGTCCCTCCTCTGACCCCCAAGGACACACATCAGTCTTCAAGCAAAATACATTCACCCCATCAAGGTTTCCAAAGTTCTCATCTCATTACAGCATTAATTCAAAGTCAAAAGTCTCCCCTAAATATCACCAGATCAAAAGCTCCGAATCTTCTCATCTAAGTCATCTAAACCAGATGTGGGTGAGCTCTGGGTAAAATCCATCTGTGGAGCTGGGAAACTAGCAAACGAGTTGTCTGTTTCAAAGTGCAAGGTTGGGGCAGGCATAGGGTGGTAGCTACAGATCTTTTGCCTCCCACTGATGGCTGTGGCTGGTTTAGGTTACCCTCGGAGTTGGCTCTCAGAGACTCAGGGCTGCCTTCACTGGATGTGGGAGTTGGGGGGCAGGGCAGGCTGTTTTCCTTGGGACCTACCAGGTCTTATCAACACAGACAGGCAGGGTTAGGAGCCAAGTGGATCACACTGTGAGCATCCACCCAGAATTTCTAGGGAACGTCATACATGTGGCAAATCCATGCACAGAGCATTCAGCTGCCAGTATTATCTGCATAGGATGCTGTGGTCTAGGGGGTAGCCTTCCTCTCTGCAGAGGAAGCTTCATCAATGGTCCTGCTGGGTGGACAGTCTCAGAGGCTAGGATGAGCCAGCTCCTTCAGCCCATATGGCATCACTCTGTCTCCTGTTCACTCGACTTGATGACTGCAGATGGGGTCCCTGGCCCAGAGTCCAGCTTCTTTGTGAGACGCGGTACCAAGTGCAGGCCCTGCAAAAACCCAGGACTCCATGTCACAGGGGTCTTGAGTTCCCTCCAGACTCTGGGCTTGGTCTGCAGATGAGCTGCCGGGGGCTGGGAGAGGGCAGGGCGTGTGCATGTGTGTGAGCCTGTGTCTGTGTGTGTGAGTGTGAGTGCTGGCTCTAGATCGGCTGCAGACAGGTCCCTCTGTGCTAGGCTTCGGACCAGCCACACGCCCACCAAATGGCTGCACATCCTCTGCTGTGTGGTCTGGTGCTGAAGGGAGGCCCGGGGAACGTGCCGCAAGTCTTTGTGTCTTACAAGCTCATAGAACCCCGACAAGGCAGGCAGGACGGGGACCCAGGGACATCACCCAGAGGGCTTCTGCCCTGCCCATTGCTTGGTGGAAATGCTTTTCTGCTGTCCTCCGGGCAGGTAGAAGGCTGATTTGCCCATGATGGTTTTTGTTATTGGGTAATTGCCATTTTATATCCCAGCTGGGTCTCCATGAAAACGCTCAGCAATAAATAACGTGGATCCAGATATAGGCCAAGGCCCCTGGGTGGGTCTGACTGGCGGAGCATTAGCTCAGAATATCAGTGTGTTGCTGCATAACTGCCCACATCACAGCTGAATTCATTCCCGTGTCTGCTGTGAAAAAAAGTCCCACAAGTTGTTTGGCTTCAAACAACAGAAATTCATTCTCTTGGAGGCCAGAGTCCAAAGTCAAGGCGTGGGCAGGGCTGTGCTCCCTCTGCAGGCCCCAGGGAAGGATCCTTCCTGCCTCTTCCAGCTCCGCGCCTCCAGCCCTCCTTGGCCTGTGGCTGTAGTCTCTGCCTCTGTCCCCACGGGGCCACTGTGTGAGCCTGTGGTTCCTCTCCCGTCTCGGATAAGGACACTTGTGATTGCATTGAGGGCCCCTTGGATAATTCGGGATGATGTCTGCTTGAGTCTTTCACTTCATGACGCTGCAAAAATCTCTTTTTCAAATAAGGTCACATTGCAGGGCCTGGGTATTAGGATGTGGGCCACCATTTCCATGCCTATTTCGGGGTCACCATTCAGCCCATTGAGATGCCTGCTGCCAGGGCTCCTTGTGGGTAGGGGACAGGGCTATGTTCCGTAAGTCCTCACTCATAACCCAAGCTCCAGCACAAGAGGAGTCCAGGAAAGATTTGCTGTCTTGCCTCGAACCTAGGTTGTGCCCCGCAGGGGAAGAGATCCCCGCAGCCTTCTGAGGCAGTACCTGGCTGTGTCATCTGCACCAAACATTTTTCCTGGATGTGCTGCTGGGTGCACAACAACCATGACAGCAACAGTACTGGTCGTGTGCAGTGAGACTCAGGGGTCAGCCCCCACCCATTAATTATCCCTGATCCCCAGAAAGGGCAAGTGCTGGGCAAACAAAGTGAGTCCTCACTTGGAACCAGGCATTTGGAACCTATTGAATGCTCTGCCTATTCAATAGGAATGACAGCCTTAAAACTCACGGCAACCCGGTGAGGAAGGTGCTGCTACCATCCCTGTTGCACATAGGGAAGCACAGAGAGGTTAAGAAACCCACCTACGGCCACAGAGCAAACACATACCAGTTCATGCACCTGACCCCGGGCAGTCAGGCTCCAGAGTTGTGCTTGTAACAACCAGCTGTGACCCATGTTTGATGGTTTTCAGAGAAGGGATATCCCTTGGGAGAGCACCCAGGTGGTGGAGAGTGGGTGTCACCTTTGGACCGGGCCACTGCAAACCTCTTCTGGCTCCTTGCTTCCTCCTGCCTTGACGTTTCTGGGTGTGGCTCTGAGTTCCTTCCGCACCTGGCTAACTCCTGCTCAGCCTCCTCCGGGAAGCACTCCCTGACTTCTGCCCCAGGCTGGCCAACTGCCTCTGTGCTGTGTCTTCAGGCCCCGGCACTCTCAGTCAGAACTACAGCTGGGAGCCCCGTCTTCCTGCTTCATGAGGGGTGCATGGTGCATATCATATCCAGCCTGTGTCCCAAGGGCAGGGCCCAGAACACGGCATGTGGTGGTGCAGGCATCACAGATGCCTGTGGACAGGACGGCCGTGGAGCCTCACCCCACCCTGTTCTTGGCCCCCTTCCCATCCCATCATCACCTACCCACTGCCTTCCAGAGCCACGTTTGTGCTGGACCCAGTCCCCTCCTAGAGGCTCACAGGGCAGGGCCTTTGGGACACTAGGGGTGGGGTTGGACGCTGCCTGCAGGGGGCTTTGGGCAGTGAGGCTGTATCTGCATCGTCCGCTGTGGAGGTAAACCCTGACAAATGGGTTATCATTGCAAACAAATGATTCCATTTGTGACTTTCCTGGGGACCACAGTTCTGCTGCTTCTGGCAAGGGAGGGATGAATGCTGAGCCTGGTGCCTCCCACTCACAAGCCCATCAATGCCACTGCCTGCCCAGGGTCTACTGGCCACCCACAGGACACTCCCCCAGCCTGCGTCAATGGGCCACTTGGGGGTGTCCCCACAGGCAAGAGGAAGGAGCTTGGAGGTGAACAACTGAGAGGGGTCCCAAGAGGAGGGCACCAGGCTCAGAGCAGACAGGCCTGGGCCGGTCCTGGTTTTCCTGCTTACGTCTAGGTCTGCCTGGGCGGGTTGTTTGCCTTCTCTGAGCCTCAGTTTTCTGACCTGTAAATGGGCCTGGCCGGGGCAGGGCTGCTGCAGGGATCCAGGTGGAAATGGAGCAACAGCGGCACGATGTACGGGGCATTCTCTGGGGTCAGTGGAGGCTCATGTGGGAGGCCCGGGGGGACCCGGGAGGGCAGCAAGGAAGGCTCCCATCCGAGCTCAGATGGCAACCCAGCAGGGGAGGCCAGAGCTTCATATGTGGTGAGAGAAGTGACAGGAGGGAGGCTGGAGGGCTGGATTCCAGGGAGACAGAGAGAGCGAGAGCAAGAGAGAGCAAGCAAGAGAGAGCAAGCGAGAGAGACAGAGAGAGAGAAGAAAGGCCAACTTCAGACACAGAGAGGGAGAGGGAGGAGGAGATGAAGGGGCTAGGGTAGGGGGGGAGAGACAGAGAGAGAGAGAGGAAGGCAGACTTCAGACACAGAGAGGGAGAGGGAGGAGGAGATGAAGGGGCTAGGGTAGGGGGGGAGAGACAGAGAGAGAGAGAGGAAGGCAGACTTCAGACACAGAGAGGGAAAAGAAGGAGGAGATGAAGGGGCTGGGGTAGAGAGAGAGAGTGAGAGAGGGAGAGAGAGACGGGGCACTCAGAGAGAAGCACTGCCCTCAGGGGTGACCCCAGCCCAGGACTTCTGATGAGAGCTTGTGAGGGAGTTGGCAGAGAACACTCAGGCTGAACCCAAGTCAGTAAAATGTTATTCCCTCAAAGAATTCCATTCTTCTCATGACAAAAACTTGTACTCGATGATCATTGTACTTCATATTTCCTCAAGAAGGAAATTCTCTTCCTCTAAAAATACCTATATAATAGCCTCTTGGCCTGCAAAGCTTAAAATATCTGGCTGTTTACAGAAGATGTGTGCAGACCCCTAACACAGCATTAGAGACAGGCAGGAAGGGAGGGAGGAAGAGGAGGTGGGGGAGAGGGCAGGGGGTTGGCGGCAGACCCCGCCCACATCCATGCGGGACCCACCTCCAGGATGTCGATGAGCACGCTCTCCTCCGCCTGCCGCGAACTGCGCACGTCCTGCAGGACCAGCGCGTAGCGCACGCCGCGCGGGTCCGACTGGTACAGGTTGTAGGTGTCCATCTGGTACCACTCCTGCACCGCCACAAACACCTGACTCTCGTCCGTGCTGATGATCTGCAGATCCTGCGGGGATGTGCGGGGAACACAGGGTCAGGGCCAGGCTGGGGGCCGCACGTGGGAGGAAGAAGGCAGCTGCACAGGCCTTGAGGGTGGGGAAGGCCTCGGGCTCTCCTGGAGCCAGTCTGGCCTGGATTTGCCTCCTGGCTCGCCTGCTCTGGGCTCTGTGGCCTTGGACAAGTCTCCTCACCTCCCTGGGCCTCCATTTCCCCATCTCTAATATGGGGATGGCCTTGGGATGCTCTAAGCCAGGTTATGGGAGGGTGGCCTGGGGACACCTCCTCCTGGTCCCACATCAGGCTATCCATCCATCCAACAGTGGGGAGGCGGAGTTCTTCCTCCATGCACCCCCAGATGGTTGATTCCGGGGGTGAGGGCTGGAGCCCCTCCCTCTCCTCCTATCCACAGGAACAGGTGAGTCTCTGCTCCCTCCTTCATTCAACACACATTTGGGAAGCACCCACTCCATACCAGAAACTTTCCGGCCACTGGATACCTAGAAAGGCCCTGAGTGCAGTGGGGAACCAGGTGTGGCCCTGTCCTCTGCAACCTGCAGGGAGGCATCTGTGGGTTCATCCATTAAAGCTTCGTTGTCCAGGGACACTATCCCCACCTGTACACGCTCCAACCTTCCTCCTGGTCCCTCTGTGCCGGTCCCTGCCAGCCCTGAGCCCTGGGGGCACAGTCTGGAGGGGGAGGCAGAGAAGGAGCCCCACCAGGACCCCATAAGGTGGTCTCAGAAGGTGAAAGGGCAGCCGGGGCAAAGTGCCTCACCTCGGTTTCCATTCGGAAGCGGGTGTGTTGGGCAGCTCTGGAGTGGGCCCAGGGCAGTGGTCTTTGGGTTCAGTCCCAGGTTTTTAAACTCAGAAAGCAGCCAAAACCCAATAGAATAAAAAGGAAAACCGGGAATACCTCAGTTTCTTGTTTTCTTTTCTTGCCCAGCCAGCACCAAATGCGTATGGGAGGCATGAGTAAAGGGGTCTGGAAAGGCCCATTTTGAAGCCATAACCAGCTTCCCTCCCACCTCTGTTCCTTTGCCTTCTGTCACTCTGGAACTTTATTGCCCTCTGAGAAGACAGTGCCAAGTTCCAGGGGCAGAAAACAGGTGACAGAGGGGGGCTCGACTGGCCCCACCTATGGAGTCACCCCTCCCAACTACGGTGTGGCTGTGGCACATGTTCTCATCTAATGGGAGGGCCTAGGGAAGGAGTTTATAATTTTTTTTTCTGAATAATAACAGATCAAATCCCGATTCTGCCTAGTGGAGCTCAGTTTTCAGTGGAGAGTGAGGAAGAAGCTGCCTTAGCAGGTGGCTCAGGGCCGGGCTGGACTCCTGAACGCTGTTCCCTATGCTATGCAGCCCCAAGGACTGTGCAGAAAAGGAGAGTGATGCTATTTTGCAGCTACCATGCAGCCCACAGGCAGAGAGGACCCCACAGTGGCAGGAGCTGCAGTCCTGTGTCTATGGACCGAAATTCAACACACAGAAATGACTGGCACCAAGAGACACAGAACCAGGGAAGGATGACAGGGCAAGGTGCCAGGGTCTGGCTGTCCCCACGTGTGAAGTGGGACCGTAGGTGATGCAGAGCCCATGGAGGCACACAAAGTGCCCGGAGGCAGCAGGCTTGTGGCTGCTCTGTTCTCCTCACCTCAGCTCCCACTTCCTCCCCACTCAGGGCCATGGGCCAAAATGCACTCTGTCATCCAGGCATTGGTCATTCTGCTGCCCAACTAGGGGAAGGCTTGTCCACCAGCCCGGGCTGTAGCAGGGAATTGGACCGTGCAGTCAGATTGTCGGGTAGCATGTGAGACTCCTGCAGGGGTGGCAGGGGGGACTGCGATTATGGGTGCTTTGAGCTCAGGGGACTTGACGTCAACCATGTCATCAGGATTCAGTATTTACCGTGATTGCAGCAACTTACAGTGTGCCTCCTATGCCCCTGGGTAAATGTTTACATAACCTGGGTAAATGCATTGGGTAAATGTTTTCCACAATCTAGGAAACAAAGAAAAATGCATGAACTGACTCGAGGTTACAAGCACTGCCCCCTAGAGAGACCTGACACCAGCGTGTTCAAATGTTTACGTTTGGGCTTTCTCTCAAGTGTGATGCACATATTTTTTTCATGTGTAGTTTATAGTTTGCCCCTTTACGTCACAGGCAGAGCAGTGTGTCTGCCATTAAAATGATCTATAAACAGTACTTTTAATGACTGCATGATACTCCATTTTGTGGACGGGCCATATTCCACTGAGCTGCTTCCCTACTGGGAAACCATCAGCACTCTCAACATAACTGGCAGATGGTCATGAACGTTTCTAGACACAGATCTCTGGCTCTCTGGTTATTTCCTTGACATAAACTCCTAAGAAGGGAAATTGCCACATCGCAACATTTCGAAAGCTCTTGTTACCTATTGTTAAATTGCTATCCTGAAAGTTTACATTAGTTCCTTCCCCACCAGCAGGAGTAGAGAGCACTTATTTTGTTTTACATATGCCAATATTGAGAATGGTCTTTTAAAAATATTTGCTGATTAGAGATTTATAAATAACAGGCAATTTTTGCTTCCTATTGCGTTTACTGTCTTCTTTGAGAAAAGATAGTACAGACATTTTGATATTTTTAAACGAAGGATGTGAGACACATTCAAATATACATCTAGTATATATGATTGTACATATTTGTATGGCCTGGAGAAATATGCAGAAGGAAACACCAACCTTGCCAATATTTGTTATTAGGTAGAATTAGGTTTGCTTGTGAGTAACAGAAACAGGAAAAAACTTTCTTTATTAGAGAGCTCTAAGAAGCCACACAGGACAATTCCACTAGCATCTCACTGGCTAGATTTTAGAAGCACTGACCACATGTAGTTGCAAAGGAAGCTGGGAAATGCAGTCTTTTAGCTGGAAAGCAATGTACTAGCCAAAGTCTGCGGTTTGTTGAATGAAGACGAAGGGGCAGAATGGATATGAGAGGAATCCAGGACTTTCAACAATACCTCCTTGAGGAATGAGGAAATGGTCAGGGAAGGGAGGACTGGAGAGGCAAGCAGGTAGAAAGGGTATCTACGCATATACATAGTATTGTTAATTATGTACGTAGTATTGTCTATTATGTTGTATTATAAGGTAAATAAATGTATTCTTCCATTAATTGTAGTGAATGCATTTTAAATAAGTAATTTTGGAAAAGTTTAAAAGCATTTTTAATAGACATGACGGGAAATTTCTCCATAGATGCTTATATAAACTTCATGAAACAGTCTAATGAACCAACACCTTCATCAAATTCTTTTAGCACTTTGAATGTATCAGCTCATTGCCTGCTGAACGCTGGGGTTCCTGATGAGACATCTGTTGATAATCATATTGATTATTGCTTATATGTAACAAGTCATTTTTCTCTTGCTACTTTCAATATTCTCTCTTAAGAGTTTCGATTTTTGGCCAGGCATGGTGGATCATGGCTGTAATCCCAGCACTTTGGGAGGCCAAGGCAGGTAGATCACTTGTGGTCAGGAGTTCTAGACCAGCATAGCCAATATGGTGAAACCCTGTCTCTATTAAAAATATAAAATTAGCTGGGTGTGGTGGCAGACACCTGTAATCCCAATTACTCAGGAGGCTGAGGCAGGATAATTGCTTGAACCCAGAAGGTGGAGGTTGCAGTGAGCTGAGATTGTACCACTGAACTCTACCCTGGGCAACAGAGGGAGATTCTGTCTCAAAAAAAAAAAAAAAAAAAAAAAAAGAGTTTCTGTCTTTTGACAATTTGGTTATGTGTCTTGGTGTGGATCTCTTTGTGTTTATCCTTCGTAGAGTTTGAATTTTTAGATATTTATATTCATGTTTTTCATCAATATAAATTGATGGGGGAGTTTTGGGCCATTATTTCTTCAAATAGTCTCTCTGCCTTTATCTCTCTTCTGTTCCTTTTGGGACTCCCACAATCATATGTTGGCCTGCTTGCTGATGTCCAAAAGCTCCCATAGACTGTGTTCACTTTCAATCTTTATTCTTTCTGCTCCTCAGTTTGATGATTTTAATTGTCTTATCTTTAAGTTCTCAGATTCCTTCTTCTGCCTTTCAATTCTGCTTTCAAATCTCTCTAGTATTCTTTTCAATTCTTTTTAGCTCCAGAATTTCTTTTGGTTCCTTTTTATTTTTTCTATCTCTTTATTGCTATTTCCATTTTGTCCATACATCATTTTCTTGTTTTTCCCTATTTTTCCCTTCAGTTCTTTGAGCCTCTGTAAGACACTCATATTAAAGTCTTTGTCTAGTAGATCTGCCATCTGGTCTTTCTCAGGGAAGGTTTCTGTTTTTTTTTTTTTTCCTTTGAATGAATCATACTTTCCTGTTTCTTTGTATGCCTCGTAACTTTTTTAGGTCAAAAACTGGACAGTTGAGTCTAATGTCCAATTAGATTGGACAATAATATGGTAACTCTGGAAATTAGCTTGTCCCCTTTCCATAGAGCTTGCCATGTTTTGTTCTTATTTTTGATGGTTGTAGGTATCTCTTTACCAAGGATCAGCCATACATGTAAGCTTAACATCTTCCTAGGCCTTTTCTGAGCCTCTGCTTTTCCCTGGGCATGCCTGGTGATCTTCTAAATTCTCCCATATATACAGTTGCTTTTGAATGTCTGGCTCCCAAAAGGGAAAAGGGGGAAAAATAAAAGAGAGTAAAACAGGCTGTGACCCTTTAAATCTCCTGGAAGCTGTTTCAACTCATGGTGGTTGCAACAGTGGCTGCCTGTCTGGGTATCTGCACGTCTGTCATCAGAAGCAGTCAGTAGTCAGAGCACAGATCCCCAGTATTTGGAAGACAAGGTCCTTATAGCACCCCCACGCCCTCCAGCTCCTTCAAGCTCTGTGCCTGCTGCTCTAGGGACACATGCACATTTGCCTGCCATGAGGCTGGAGGAGTGGGGGATGGGAAGCCTCTACCAGGCTAAGAGCGGACATTATCCAAATTGACTTTGATATGCCATCCATGCCTTGCCCTGGAAAATGCAGGCTCTAAAATACACTTGAGAATTCCAAAGCAGTTACACTGGATGGGTTCTGCCAGTGCCATTGCCGCCTAGGTGGGAAGATGGATTCCTGGGGCGTCCTGCTCTGCCATCTTACCTGATGTCACTTCTTTCTTTATTAATATGGTTTAGAAATTTTATTTTACTTTAAATACATTTATGGCAAATACAGGAATATTTCCCTTTAAATTTGCATTTACCCATTGTTATGAATGCCTTTATATAATTGATAGTTATTTGGATTTTTCTTCTCTTTTGTCTGTTTATAGCTTTGGCCTATTGTTTACCTCTGTTAGGGAAACTGAATATTTTTTTTTAAATGATGACAAATAAATAAGCAAAGGATATTGACAAATATAAAAACGGCCCACCCTTTACAGTTTTCATAGACAGGTAAATTAAAACAGCAGGATGGTATCATTTATACCCTTTAACATAGAAGGAAAATAGAAAATAATGGCAAAGCTATGTTGAAGCTGATCTGTTCCAACTCTGTTGGTGACAGCAGCCCAGCTTGCCCAAGCAACTAAGCTACAAAAATATTTATATCCTTTGTTCTGAAGTTCTTCTTAGACTTTAACTTGAGAAAATTAAAAAGAAGTACCTGTGGGCACACATAAATTCATTGCAGCACTGTTTATAATTATAAAAAAATGGAAACAACCCAAATCTCCAAGCAACAAGAATCTGGCTTAGCTCAACGAAGTACAGTCTCCTCAATAGAAAGCTTCACAGTCATGTAAAGTAGATATCACACATCATTCAAGAAACAGTCTCATGTGAGACCTTCACAGTCTATAGTGTCCTGTGAAAGCAGACTGGAGACCCAGGACTGCTTGTAATTCAACTACGTAAAAACCCTTTTGCATATGGCTGAGGAATGCGGGGAGACCAAGAATTGCTGGGGGAGACATCGGGTGGATGGGGTGAGAGGTTTGCAGGTGAGCCCCCTGCTCCAATGTCTATGATTTTCATAATGTTAATTAAGCAATTAAAAATATAAAAAGAAAAAAAAAGAGGGGGGTCGAGTCTGTGGGAAGAGGAAATAGGCAAGTTACAAATTCACCATAAAACAACAACATCTGATGAGGAAATTCAATTAGCTACTTCTACAAATTGTTGATGAGAAACACTGGGAGGGCTGCTGTCCTGACCTGGGTGGAGAAGAAGCAGGCTGGCTGGCTGGGCAAAGGTCTCAGCTACATGAGATGTGGTCTTGAAGACCCCGGAGGGCCCTGGGGGCCCCGTTCTCCTGACAGCAGCCCAGCTTGCCCACTTCTTGATGAGGAAGTGACCATCATCTTCAACTGCTGGTCACTGGATCCTGTGTATGGACCCCTGAGGGAGGACATTGACAGTCACAGCACGTGCCACCTGCCCTGGATGAGTCCCTGGTCTTCCCTTGAAACTTAATGACATGAGGCTGGGTGTGTGTCTGTCACTGCTGTGAGAGCCTCTTGATTCTTTTCAATGACCTCCAATTTCCGTAGAAATGGGGGAAGAAGAAAATCAGGGTAAAATGCACACTGTTAAGGGTCCACAGCAGGAGACACAACCTGGTGCTTCCTGCAGATCTCACTGACATCACATCTGCAGGTCTAGGGAGCAGAGGTCCAGGGAGCCATCGCTCAAGGTCACAGAGGTCATAACTTACAGCCATAGGCTCCTGAGAGCACCCTTGGCAGCAGGCTGACTCCTGGCCCAGCCACCCCAGCCTCCAATGCTAGAGGGGAGCAGAGAGGGTCCCTGTATGGGCCTAATTCTGGGCTGTGCACTTTCCTCTCCCTAACACCAGGACAAAGAGCCCAGGACACAGGAGCTTCTAATGCTGTAGCCCTCAAAAGTCAAGGGAAGGCTTCTCAGATGCTGAAAAGGGACAGACACCTAGTGCCTTTGCCTGAAATGAAACCATTAGCTTTTAATTTACATACTCAGCCAAGCCTGGCGTTCAGTCTATTAAACTCACCCCTTTTTTCCCTTTATTTTCCTTTTTTTTTTTTCTTGTTTTTTAAAGAGAAGTTTTTAAAAGCCCTCCTAGACTTTTCCCATTTCTGGCTCAGGAGAGGTCTGAGGGTGCCCAGCGCAGAAGCTCCTGTGGCCAAGCACTTTACAACAAGCCACAGCCTGGGCTTGGGGGGCCCAGAGCCGCTGGCCCCTCCCACTCCACTCTCACTCTCTACCCCAGGGTCTTAGCTCCTGCTCTGCCCTCCTCCTGAATGACTTTCTCCCTTGCTGTCCTCAGAGCTGCTTTAGAGCTTCGGATAAAGAGTCCCTCCCACTCCCAGCCCCAGAGGGGCCTCCATCGCTGCCTGGCCTAAATCAGTCACACACATGAGCACGCCCACACACACAAACACGTGAGCATACACACACACACGCACATACACACTCATACACACGCCCTCCATCACTCTCTGTCTCTCCCTCTTGTTCCCTTCTTAGCACAAACCACAACCTGCAATTATTTTATGCATTTGTCTGTCTACGGGATCTCCTGCCTGTTCCCTGTCTCCAAAGCCCACGGGAACAGGAGCCTGGGGCTTCTGATTCACAGCACGGCCTCCTAGCACACATCCTGGTTTATATTTGGTGCTCAGTAAATACATGTGGAGGAAGGGAAGGTTCATCTGCTTCTCAGCTATGCATGTGGGACAGAGATCTTCAGAAGGTGTCATCCGAATGTCCTCAGGAGGGAGGTGTGGCATGAGGCTGGGCTGGCTCACCTGGACCTCAGTTTGAGATCTGCCTTTGTTTCTAACTAGCTGTGTGATCTCAGACAGGTTACTGCCTCTCTGAACTTCTATCACCTCCTCTGGTAGGTGGGAATAATATATTAACAGCAGGGAGAGAGGCCCCAAGGCAGGGGCAGGGGCAGAGTTGGGCAGTCCTCAGCTCCCCTGGTCCCCCTTCTTTGCCTTCCGAAGCAAGGGAAAGGCAATAGCATTAACTGAGCACCTACTGTATGCCAGGCAGCATACTAGGTGGCTGGAATGCAGAGGTGAGTACAGCAGAGATCATCTCCACCCCAGCAATGTCAGAGGAGAGCAGGAGATAGACACTGGATGGAGGCGTCCCTGGCACCCTGGGCACCAGCAAGGAGAAGAGTGGGATGGGACCAGAAGACAGACGCCTGGGCTCGCCTGGAGGGCCATTAGCAAGCAATATTTCTCCTGAAATACCACGTGTGCAAGAGTTCCGGGGAAAGATGAACCAGGCAGAGGGAAGAAGCTGGCAGAGGCCTAGGATGAAGCTGGGCACAGCTGAGTCTGGAAGGGCTGGGTGGGCTGGAATGGAGTGTGTGAGGGGCGAGTAGCTGGAGGGTGTGGCCACACTGTTCTTGTCCATCCTGACCTGGAACCGCCAAGCACCTGTGTGTGAGTCCTGTTGCCCCACGAGTCAGGATAGGCTTAGGGCCTGGCCACGGGGCCAGGCAGAGCGGGGAGCACCTTACCTTTGGCAATGCATACTTCGGCAGCTTCATCAGGACAAATTCATTGCGGTGATGAGAGACATAGTATTTTGTCCGGTTTGCTGATGTTACCTAACCGGGGGAAGAAACACAGTTCTGAGAAGCTTGATTCCCTCTCCAGCCAGAGTCTCATGAATGGAAAACTACACATTATATTCAGCAAGTGAAAATGCCCCTTTACTTTGCTTATACCTGTTCTGCTTGAAATGAGCAGACTCCTATTCATCCTTCAAAGCCCCACATTAACACCCCTCCTCTGGGAAGTCGTCCTCTGCTTCCTTCAGTCAGAACTAACTTCTTTCCCCATGCTCTCTCTTTGCCTTGTTTCTCTGCATCCAACTTATGGAACAAGGTGGAAAAAGTTCCAGTGGAGAAGGAGACAGGCCAAAGATGAGCTCATCACCAAAGGTGACCACTGAACTTCGAGGCATGACAAACAAAGCTGGCACCATCCTGAGTGCTTTTCCTGGGCAGCTCATTTGATCCCATAACAATCAACCCCATTAACTGTGGCCGTGGACGTCTGTTCCCAGAGACAGAAAGGCCCTTCAGGACAGGACTGTGGCAGGTCTCTGATCACAGAGGCCACGGATCCTCACTGCCACGGAACCGGAGGTGCAGCCTCCTGAGCCACCAGCAGCGCCACCTTGTTGGTGGTGAGGTGGGGCTGGAAGGGCTGTGGTTTCTTGCATCCCAGCACAGGCTCCCGGATCCTCTGAGAAGCAGGGTGGTAGGAGGGAGGAAGGGAGAGGGCAGGGGAGGCCGGGGCTGGGGCAGGGAGAGCTTTCCTCTGCAGTTGTTGAGAAAGATGGAAACCAGGGTAGAAACTGGATGGAGACAGAGGTCCCCCACTTCTCCTGCCCCTCACAAACAATGTCGCGAGCACCAACCCCAGACAAGCTCACTGTGACCTTGTGCAGAATGAGACCACCTGAGACCACTCCACGATCGGGTCCGAACACAGACCAGACGTGAATGTCGTTCAAACTTCCAAGATGCCCAGGCACCCACCCTGGCTGAGACGAGCGAGGGCTGCTGCTTTACAGCCAGGCTCCTGCCTCCCCTGAGGCTCCCGCACCCCCTAGTCTCGTGCCTCCCCTGAGTCATCCCCTCCCTCTAGAGAAGATTGAGACGTCCAATCCTAGCAGGACCTCATGTCCTCACATCCCCCAATCCAGAGTCACGCCCGGCTTCCTTGCAGCCCCCACAAATCACCTCCTGCAGCCCACACCTGACAATCAGGCCCTTCTAACCCCTCGGAGACGCTCAGGTTCCCCAGGGCATGTGTTCCCCCTTGCTGCACTGAGTGATAACCCAGCCTGCTCCTCCATAGGTGAGCTCCGGGGGTCTTAGGCTGCAGGGCTTTGACAGGCCAGCGGGTCTAATGTTTAGAAACCACTCAACATGGGAGATGGTTGCCCAGAGAGCTGACGCTGTCCTTGCTCTAGTACTTAGTGAACATCCACAGAAATATAATGCTAGGTGCTGGGAAAGCAGGTGGTGGGTTCAGACCTAGAACCCAGCCTCGGCTTGCCTGAGTTAGGTGTAGGGACAAAAGGAGTAAAGGGTACGGAATGACACAGTGGGGCCTGGGCTGTGACGGAGGAAGGCACAGGGCTGGGGGTCCTCAGAGGAGGCACCAGTGAGCCTGAAGTGGAGGCAGAAGACTTCCTGGAGGAGGAAGTGCATGATTGAGTCTTCGAGAAGGAGCAGGAATCAGCCCGTGGAGAAGCGAGGCACAGCACAGGGAACGGTGTGAGCAAATGCACAGACTGAGGATCAAAAGCCAGGGGCTGGGCTCAGCAGACAGCAGTGGAGACTGGGCAGGGCTGAAGGTCAGTGCTGGTGGCAGCAGAAGCCTCTTGTCTGGCCTGCTTTAACGGTGGGGGCTGGGATGCCCATGCCTGCCCTGGCACCCAACTCCATGGTGGCCCTTGGCACAGAGTGTAGAGTGGGGAGCTGGGGTGATCAAGGGTGGCTGAGACAGGGCAAGGAGGTGGCTGGGGAGCACAGAGGGCCTTCTGGGGAGAGGGCACCCAGCAGCTGCCCTCAAGGGGCTTTCTTTGGGGAAACTTTGGACTTGTTTTGCAGGATCCCAGAGGGCAGAACGGACCCAGTGGATGGGAGTCCGATGAAGCAGCCTCTGTCTCAGGGCCAGAAGAAACAGGCCAGTGACTGGGGCTACTCAGCAGAGGGCTAGGCTGTTTCAGGAATGCTGAGTTCCGCATCCATGAAGGTGAAGAAAAGCTGGATGGATTGGTTGTGTGCTAGAGTTTCTGAATTAGCTGGGACCACGTGGCTGCTGAGGGTGGGCCCACTTGTGACCTGAGGGCACAGGCAGCAGGGTCCTGGTCACAGGGCTGTGGACAGCCGGTGCCTGGCGGCCAAGAGCTGGGACTAGAAGCAGTCCTGGTCAGTTCCAAAGTCGCTGATAAAGCCAAATGGGGCTAAATGGGCTTAGGTTTGGGGACCCCGAGTGGCTGGGAGGTTCATGGTGGCCAGAAGGGAGGTGGAGCCTCCGTGTCCCTGAGCCCCAGTGCTGGGTTTGCGGGGGCTTCTGTGGATGCCTGTAGCCACAGCTACGGTCAGAAACCGTGACCTGCAAAGTAGCACTCGAAAGTGAAATACCCGTTTTATTGCCTCTTTTCTGAGCGATTCCATTTTGGCTGCGGGCGGCTCATCCGCCACGTCGCCTATTGCCAATTTCCCAAAGTTCCGGAAGCAACTTTACCTTAAAGAAGATGTAATCGTCCTGCACGGTCAGAGACCCGTGGTCAATGGGGCCTGCGAACGGGGCTGCCAGCAGCTTCTCGGAGCAGTTGTGGATCGGGCAGGTGACGTACCGAAAACCTACAGGAGAGAGGCGCCGGCCCAGGCAGTCAGACTCCAGCCGGAGCCAGAGACAGCCCGAGACATGTGCTGGGCTCCATCCTCCTCCAGCACCACTGCGGTGCGGCTTCGTGGGTTGAATTCTAAAGGCCACGGCGATGACACCTGCGGCCGAGGGTGTCATCCTGGACTGTGGGCCACCTGCACTCTGACATGAGCTCCTTCAACCCTCAGGAAGGTGTTCGTGCTACTCTGGAGCCTGCCATCTCCTGCAGGAGGGGTCAGCACAGCTGACGGTGGGCACCTCACCATGCCCAGACATGCACGGCCGCCACATCCTCCTGGTCTTTTACACCTGAGCAGGGGTGAGGGCGGGTGGCGCTCAAGGGTTCTTTTTCTCAAAATTTTAAGCACATGCTTCTACCCTTTTCCACATGTTTATGGTTGAGCAATACTGAATGCATGCTTTGCCAGGGAGCTGCTGATTTTAAGTCCTTCTGTTTCCCCAGGGCAAATTTATGTGGAGGGGCTGGAGCCTGGAGGCCTCAGGAAGCTCTGTGTTCCAGCTTGTGAGCCAGGAGCAAGATTTATCCAAAGGGACCAAGGGAAGGGCACCTCCTCCTCCTCCTCTCCGTCTTCCTCGCCCTCCTCCTCTACCTCTTCCTCCTCCTCCTGACTCTGGCCCTGGGTGATCGGCAGCATGGAGAATGGTTAAGGGAAGGGGTTTAGGAACCAGAAAGGCCTACCCCTAAGCTCAGCCTCAGCTTTCTGCACTGAACAATGGGGTAGGCCTACCTGTTTGGGCTGTTCCAAGGAGGCGGAAGGCAGTGTACACAGAGGGTACGTGGGCAGCAGTGCCAGGCCACTGCCAAGCCCTCCTGAGCCACGCCCACGTTCCCTTGGAACTGCCTGGTGTGCCCTGCGTTCAGCACTGAACTTCCTACAGCTGGAGATGCAGCGAAATGACTAGCTCAGGGACATGCTCAGTTGACAATCTACTCACTCACTCACTCATTCACCCGCTCACTCACTCATTCACCCACTCACTCACTCATTCACTCGCTCACTCATTCACCCACTCACTCACTCATTCACCCACTCACTCACTCATTCACTCGCTCACTCATTCACCCACTCACTCATTCACCAACTCACTCACTCATTCACTCACTCATTCACCACCCGCTCACTCACTCATTCACCCGCTTACTCACTCATTCACCCACTCACTCACTCATTCACTCGCTCACTCATTCACCCACTCACTCATTCACCAACTCACTCACTCATTCACTCACTCATTCACCCGCTCACTCACTCATTCACCCGCTTACTCACTCATTCACTCACTCACTCATTCACTCACTCATTCACCCGCTCACTCACTCATTCACCCGCTTACTCACTCATTCACTCGCTTACTCACTCACTTGCTCACTCACTCATTCACTCACTCAATCACTCACTCATTCACTAACTCGATCACTCACTCAATCACTCCTTCACTCATTTACTAACTCATTCACTCACTCACTTATTCACCTGCTCACTTACTCACTCATTCACTCGCTCACTCATTCACCCACTCACTCACTCGTTCACCTGCTCACTCACTCATTCATTCTTTCAATTACTCACTCACTTATTCAGCCACTCACTCATTCAATCACTCATTCACTCACTCATTCACTCAATCATTCCTCACTCACTTACCTATTCACTCACTCGCTCCTCCCTTCACTCACTCACTCACTTACCTGTTCTTTCATTCATTCCCTCACTCACTCACTCATTCATCCATCCCACCATGGTCAGGCTCTCAGTGTTCCAGGCCTAGAGCCAACACAACAAACCAGGGCCACCTCTCAGGCTGACGGGTTGTGTGCTGGGTATAGTAGCCCTGATGATAGTGCTTGCCAATTTCTGTGGTATAAACACTCCCACATGGGCATGCAGGAGCCACCTAGATGAAATTGGTGAACATGGAGTTGAAAAGAGCTGTGAACAGTGGGTGCTTATGATCCAGGGCCAGCGGAAGCTCTGGAAAGGGCAGACAGCTAACCCTGACAATGTGGTGTGATGCGGGCAGTGAGTCTTTCTCTCTGTAGCACGTTATTTTGCAACATTTTGCCCAGTGGGCTGCCCAGTGGGCTACTCAGGGGCAACCCTGGCATCTGGCTTATTCATTCAGCAGCCTTACTGGGGACACAGGTGATCAGTAGCCCCAACTGGTACTCAAGGAGCTCCAGGTCCTGGAGAGTTTGCAGAGCTGGGATGATGGAGCCCAGCAGAGGTGGCTGGCAGGGTGTGTGAGGTCAAAGGTAAGAAATTCCAAAAGGAAGAAGCATTCCCAGTAGGGATGGAGAGAGGTGCACCAGCCAGGACCTTGTGACCCCAGGCAAACCTGGACTGCCTCTGAGCTGTGTTGTCCTGGTTATCAACACAGAACAGTAGTAGTACTGGCCCCGCCTGCCTGAGTGTGGCAGAGTGGGGGTGGGGAGGGGTGAGGGCCATGCCTAGCAACTGACCCTGCCCCTGAAAGCTTAGCCATGGGGACCATGCCCAGCAGCTGACCCTGCCCCCGAAAGCTTGGCCGTGATGACCCCGTGTTGAGAACTCTGCATTCACTTATTTTATATCACTATCCATTTCACAGGCCAGGAGACTGGGGTGACTGGCCTGAGGTTGGCCAGCAGCAGGACTGAGAGCTGACGCCTGCATTTCTGTTCTAATGGTGACACATCCTGGCTCAGGTGATCCTGCACAGAGGATGTCTCTGCGGGGACTCAGCTGCTCTGCCCTCCCCAGAGCACCCTCCTGTCACACAGCATGCACGGCCCTGGGCAGGAAGTTGGCGGGTCCAGGTGGGCAGGCCCGTACCCCCACCCCTGCCCCCAACCTCCACACTTCGCACATGCTGGGGGTCGCGGGCTGAGTGAGTGGGAAACACTCAATGCTCAGGAGCCAGAACAGATCACCCTCTTAATAGACTTTTCCACTGGAGTGGAGCTCCTTGACTTCCATTCATCCCCAGCTGGAAAACAAGCACATTTAAAATCATGCCACATCGAGACGCAGTGAGGCCGCCTGTGTAGGGCCAGCCACTGGGGACGAGCGACTGAACACAGGCGCTGCCGAGCTGTGTCGGGCGCGAGGTGACTCAGGGATACCTGGTGCCTGTGCACTGCCCGGCTTACCTCCACCGAGGTCCTGGGCTTCCATGTGGACCAAGTCAGGGTCAGCGTCCACCCCAGACACAGCCCTGGAAAAGAAGAGCCGAGACTGGGGTCGGGAATGGAGTCACTGTGCCCATCCCCCAGCGGCTCCCCACACCCCATGCAGCCATGTGGCCTCCCTGGCTCTGAAGCCACACTTGCTGTTTGGGTCGGAGGGCGTCACCTCCCCGGGACCCCACCTGCTCCTGGGATGCTTGGAGTCTCTGTGTCTTCCTTGCATGAGCTGAGGGGGTTGGGTTTCTTCCTGCCATGGAAGTGTTTGTAAAAGACTTTCTCCTTCATAAAAGATTTTCACATTGCTTTTTCATTGTTGTTTGTTTTGTTTTATTTTGATCATCTAAAATGACTGCAGGAGGCAGGTAGGCCTGGGACTCCCATCCTATCCGAATTTTATAAATACGGAAATTGTGGCTCAGAGAAGCCTGGCTTGAATCCCAGTGGTAAGGGCTGACCTGGGATTCAAGCCAGGCTCACCTGAGCTGTTGCTCCGTCTCCTGCTTCCCATGACCTGGTCAAGTGTGCCCTTGGGAAGATTCCTCTCTCAGCCATCGGCTCTCCCCTAGTGCTGCCTCCAGGGACTGGCCTGAATCCTTTCATGAGGGGGCAAAGGCTCCAGCGAGAGGAATGCACTCCCTACCCTGTCACTTGAGAGTTTGCACCAGGCTGTCCCCACACACGGGCCTGGACCATGCGTTGTGAGGCAGGTGCCTTCATCTGCACTCATAGGTGGCCCCACCAGGACCAGGACGGGCCTCTGACTTGCCTGAGGCAACATGGCTCAGACCAGGACAGTCCCAGGCTCCTGCCCAGGTCTGCTTGATCCCAAAATGCATGCTCTCCTCAGACCCCACACACCGCCCTGCTCACAACTAAGGCCTTCTCCTAATGCCACGAGTCCAGATGTCCCATCGGTTATGGGACTCTGCTTCCTTTGGGGGTGGTCCCAGCTTCAGAGAAGCCGTGATGGAAATGCGAGAGTTTTGCCAAGTGGCTGAGTTCCATAGACATCTCTAAGAGCCCGGTGGGACAAACCTACTGTGTACAAGGCCCGCTGCAGGCCCTGGGGACAGAGAGAAAGGAGACACTGCGGTTGCCCTGTGAGCTCCTGGGTCAGGACACTCAGGCTGGGGCTGTGGTTCTCCTACTCCACCCTCAATCCACCCACACCCCATCCCTGCCCGACTCCTCTCTGCTCCTCCCAGCACTGCCCTGCTGGGTGAAGTCTTTAACTGGGTGGGAGGGGAGGGAGGAAGCTTCTGTCTTTAGAGGCAAAAGCCAGGTCCTGAGTCTGTGCTGTACACAGCATGTCACTCGAACTCATTTAATAGCTCCATTTAGTGGCAGGTGCTCAGGTACAGGGAATGTCCTAGGTGCCGTAGTTGCCTCATCTCACTTACCTTGAATGATCGCAAATGGTTTGGTTATACCCATTTTACAGATGAGGAAACCAAGGCCCAGACAGGTGAAAACAGATCAAAGCTCATACAGCTAGCAGAGCCAGATCCACTACCCAGGTGCTGCCACTCCCAAAGCAACATCTTTTCATCACACAGGTTGCTTCCTGGCTTTACACAGCACTGTGCATGAAATAATGCAGTGAAGGGATAGTGGTGGGGAGGAGGAGTACAGTTGCCCCATCCTCAGTGCAGAGCCTCAGCTGGAGTCCACACCTGCCCTGGCCCCTTTGTCCAAGGCCCTCCCCTGTGCTGTCACAGACTGTCCACCTGCATGGGGCTGCCTGGAGGTGGAAAACCTCACTTGCCCTCTTGGACACTCTCCCCTGGCTGTTCCGGTAATTACTCTGGCAGCAATTCTGCCTTGAATTTATACAGTACTTGTCCTCTCAGTGCTGAAGAGCCAGGACAAGGCTGCTGCTCCGGGTTGGCAAGTCTGAAAGCCTCGCCTTTGAGGGACATCCAGCCATCCATTCACCACCTGGCTCACAGGGGTTCTGTGAGGGGCCAAGCCTATGAAGCACCTGGAATGAGGCCTGAGAAGGGACAGAAGACATGTCCCACGGTTGCAGCTCCACAGGCTGGTCCTCCAGGGAATGCAGGGATGGGGTCCAATTTTGGTGTCACATCCAGCATATGCCTGACTTCCAGGGGAGTGCAGATTTTTTTTTTTTTTTTAATGAAAGGAACCTTAGTGAGGATCTGGTCCAGGGTTTCTCAAACCAAGCATCACATCCCATCTCCCAGATTTCACCATCTCCACGTGCCCACTGAACTGTCATCTACCTGCCACTTTCTTCACACTAAAAACTGCCACCTGCTTTAGCCTTCTGCGAAGCAAGACTCCCTGGGATCTCCTGGATTTGGCGGCTGGTCATGTTTGTTATCACACACATTCCAACTAATATGACTGTTAAAGTCGCTTACCCATTTACCACAGCAGTCCCTCTCATGGACCCTTTGCCCAAGAGCAAGCTGAGCCTCAAGATGAGGAAGTCACTTCCTGGTGTCAGTGGCCACTCAGCGCTGGGGGCAGGAGCACCCCCATAACCGGCTTGCAAGTCATGGAGATGTCTCAGGCAGAGTGCCCAGTCCCCCCGTGGCCTCTCCCCATCACTGACAGTTTCCCACCCAGACTTGGCCCCATTTGCTTCCCAAACTTCCTCCCAACCTGCCTGGCACCAGGATCCCCATTTGCTTAACCTTCTCCAGGGACCAGGTCCACCCAAGTGGCCCCAGGTGGACAGGGGACATCTATAAATGGGTTTGAATGGTACAGACCCCACAGATGTGCCATGTGGCGGGAGCCAGCTAGGACTCCCCCGTAGTCTCTTGAGATTTCAAACACAGGGGCACCAGCATCAATCATTCTGACCCTAGGTAAAGAGATCTCCCTTTCAAGGTGGAGTGTTGATTTCGGCTTTTGTGAATAGACCGTTTGTAAGCTCCTTGGAAAGGAGGTCTCAGGCCTGACATTGCTCTCTCCTGAATACAGACAGGCATTGTTCCCTTCAGCAGCAGACCCTCCACCAGCAATATGGAATTTTAGCCTCATCATCCATCATCTGTGAAGCAGGGCAACGACACCTGGGGCACAGGCTCCCTCTGCCCTCACTCATTCACTCACCCACTCACCCAATCACAGACTCACTCACTCACCCGCTCACTCATTCAGTCATTCACTCACCCAATCATAGACTCACTCACTCACCCGCTCACTCATTCAGTCGCTCACTCATTCAGTCACTCACTCAGTCACTCAATCACAGACTCGCTCAGTCACCCACTCACTCATTCACTCACTCACTCAATCACAGACTCACTCATTCACTCACTCACTCATTCACTCACTCACTCAATCACAGACTCACTCATTCACTCACTCACTCATTCACTCACTCATTTGCTCAATCACAGACTCACTCATTCACTCACTCACTCATTCACTCACTCACTCACTCATTCACTCACTCAGTCACTCATTCAGTTACTCAGTCACAGACTCACTCACTCATTTAACCACTCAGTCACAGACTCACTCACTCACCCACTCACTCCTCATTCACTCACTCATTCACTCATTCACTCAGTCATTCACTCATTCACTCAGTCAGTCACTCATTTGCTCAATCACAGACTCACTCATTCACTCACTCAGTCACAGACTCATTCACTCACCCACTCACTCATTCACTCACTCACCCACTCACTCATTCACTCAGTCATTCACTCACTCACCCAATCATAGACTCACTCACTCACCTGCTCACTCACTCATTCACTCACTCACCCACTCACTCATTCACTCACTCAATCACAGACTCACTCATTCACTCAGTCACATTCACTCACTCAGTCACAGACTCATTCATTTAACTACTCAGTCACATTCACTCACTCAGTCACAGACTCATTCATTTAACTAGTCAGTCATAGACGCACTCACTCACCCACTCACTCATTCACTCACTCAGTCACTCACCCACTCAGTCACTCACTCATTCACTCACCCACTCACTCAGTCACTCACTGAGTCACTCACTCATTCACTCATTCACTCACCCAATCACAGACTCACTCACTCAGCCACTCACTCATTCACTCAATCACAGACTCACTCAGTCACTCATTCACTAATTACTCACTCACTCAGTCACTCATTCACTCACTCACTCATTCAGTGACTCACTCATGCACCCACCCACTCATTCACTCACTCATTCATTCACTCATTCAGTCACTCGCTCACTCATTCATTCACTCTTTCATTCTCTCAGTCACACACTCAGCTATTTACTCATTTATTTACTCATTCACTCATTCATTCATTCTCTCACCTACTCACTCATTTTTCACTCACTCATTTATTACTTCACTAACTCATCACTCACTCACTCATTCATTTCCTCACTCACACTCAGTTATTTACTCATTCATTTACTCACTCAGTTGTTACTCATTCACTCATTCATTCATTACCTCACTAACTCATCACTCACTCAGTCATTTACTCATTCATTTCCTCAGTCACTCACCCTATAAATTCATTCATTTACCATGTTTGTTCCTTTAGTCTTTGCTCTGAGCACTTCCCACAGCCATTTCTCAGTGTACTGGCGAAGGCCCTGGGCTAGACACTGGTGTACAGGTGGCCTGAGGCCTGGTACCTGCTCCAGGCCCTTCAGTCATGGGTTTTGAAGACTCTCTTAGATTCTGCACTTACAACATCTCAGATAGAGCCCCACTCCCCGCAGGAGATGGCAAGCCTGACACACAGGCCTTCTTGCTTGTCAAGGTCTCCACTGCTTAGAAACCGCAGGCATGTGAGATGGCCCGGGGCAGGCAGTCCTCAGAGAGTGAGTGTTTTGGGGGAGGTGGGAACTGACTTTCACCCCATTTGTGCTGAGGGCAGCTCCAGTGCAAATAGTTCTGTTAAGCCCTGAAAGGTGTGATAACCACTGCTGTAGTGGGGAGACCTCCACCTCTTCCTTCTATGGACACAGGCCCTGCCACCCCTGTGCCCTGCACCAGGGCCAGGCCCTGGAGCTAATGGAGAGGGAAGCTGAGGCTCCCCCTGGGTGAGTGTGGGGCTGAGCAAGGAGGCAGATGCAGGAACACCCGGTGAAGCCCAGGCCGCCAGACCACCCAGTAGAGTGGGTAAGGGCCACAGGCCACAGCCAGAGGTGGACCGAGGCTCAGGGCTGCAGCTTGGGGGCAGCAGGACCTAGAATGTGGGCCCAAGCCTATCCGAGCCTCACTTCCCCGCTGTGACATGAGACCTAGATGCATGCCCGAGCCTCAGTTCTTCCCTGTGACGTGAGGGGGACCCTCACGGGCTGCTGTGGGGATGCCGTGGAACGGTACGTTCAGAGCCTCCATGCGCTGAACAGGGGACACTCAGTATTCAAAGCAGGGTGACTGCGGGGCAGCTGCTGTTATGATTCTGTTCTGGGGCGTGGAGAGACTGAGGGCAGGTTCGGTGGTGGGGAGCAGGCGCCCGAGGCCCTATTCAGAAGGCAGCAGGTATCAGGGCACCTGGAGCTGCTTCCTCCCGCTTGCAGGCCCCTCTAATGAGCTTGCTGTATAGCCTCGCAAAACGTTAATGAGGCTGAGCTCAGACAGAACACGGGGCTTTGGCAGTTCCCGCTGTCAGTTCAAGGACAAAGAGCTCCTTGGAAATGCTGTCCAAAACAGCATTATTCACCGCTTACAAGGGGAGGGGGGCATCCCCACCACTGTCACCATGCTCCAGGAGAGATCCCGGGGCCATAGTGGCCAGTGTCTGCTGGGATTCCCTCGAATAACAGCAGGGAAACTTGGGGGAGGAAACAATTTGATTTGCCTGAGATAATAACACGTTTGAATTATCGCCAGTTTCCTTCTGGGCGCTGTGGGTCGGTGACTTTCTCTGGCTGGAGAGCTGTCCATGAACCCGGCCTGGCCTGGGAGTGAACAGAGCTCTGCCCATTCCCCAGAGCGACCCGGCTCCGAAGTCCCCCCTCCTGGCTCTGCTCCCCACCTCTGTGAGTGCTTAGGCCCAGGCGTCCCACCGCAGGGCAGCTCTGGCTCCTGACGGTTGACAGCAATGACAAGACCAGTGATGGATGGCGGTGCTCTGGTTTCCAAGGGAAGGACCGGGCCCTCCTGTGGGGAGCCCGCAGACAGACAGCCGTCGCCTCTCCCCATGAGCCAACGGTGTGTACACCAGCAGTCGGCATTCCAGAGGAAAAAGCCTTCTTTCAGCCTGTGGGGTGGCCAGGATGCCACAGTCTGTGTGACATTACAGACGGCCCTTGCCCACTGTGCAGTCAGCAACTTGAACTTCTTAATAATTTTGTCTTTAATTGGAGCTTTGGAAGGGAAGGCTGAGAGGCAAGAGAGCATATATAGGGCTGATAGCCCGGGTTCCGTCTCCAGCCCTGTGCCCTCGGGACAGGTACAAAGCCCTTTCCATGTGTTTTTCTGTTGGACAGACCGGGCTGTGGCCTGCGCAGGAGCCTGTGCAATGGTCTGTTCCACACGTGGGATAAGAGAAAGGCTAGCACTGTGTGTGTGTGTGTGTGTGTGTGTGTGTACACACACAAGAAAGAGGGATGCCATGGAATCAGCACATGAAGGAGCAGTGTGCGTCTGGAAAGGCAGTGTGACCAGAAGGATGGGCCGTGGCCCCAGCAGGAGAGTGGCGAGCTTGAGCTCTGAGCAGCTGCACTGGCTCCTGGCCCCGTGCTGCCCCCTGCGACCTCGGGCAAGCCCTCCTCTTCTGCAGCCCTCATGGACACATCCCACAGACATTTCTCAAGGAAAGCCGAGTGCCCCTCGTGCAGTGAGGCTGGGGTGCTGCCCAGGTGGCACACTGAGAGGCTCCCCTGAGGATGCACTCAAGAGGCCAGTACCCACCGTCTGAACTCAGAGGCCCCAGTGGCCCTTTGCCTGGGATGGGAGTCTCCTTTCTCTGGTCTGGCTCCCCGGGGTGGTGGCTTGTCTGGGGTATGACCCCAAACTTATCCTGCTCATTGGCACCCAGCAGGCGCCAGGAAGGGTGACAGGTTGAGCAATGGGAGGGGAGCCCAGGCGTGGATAAACAGGAGAGCAGGGCCAAGGCAGGCTGGGTCAGCACCCACGGGGTCTGTTAGTCAGGGGCTGAGTTGGGGCCTGGGGTTGGGTGGGGAGCATAGAGTGGTGGGCCGGGGACATGTGGACGTCAGCACCTCTCTCCCCTGGGGAGGCTGTGAGGCTCGGGGAGGGAACAGCAGTGGCACAGGGCCACATAGCTGGTTCGTGAGTAAAAACGTGGCCTGAGGGACACCAACCCCTGGACTCTACCATTTCTGATACCACCCACTGCAGAGCAGGAAGAACGACTAGGGGGGTCCCCTGGGAGGAGGAGGGTATGGGGCTGCAGAAAGGGGCAGTGGATGGTGGGGACCCAGTCCCGGGCTGGGGAGGGTCCAGAGGAGGAAAGGGAACTGCGGGCCCCCGTCGGGCTCCCAAGGATTTGGGGGAAGTGCTCTCAGCGGAGCTGCGGGCCCCATGGGTTCGGGGTGGGGCAGTGCTCTCACCAGAACACGTGGTCTTTGGTCACTCGCTCTTGCAGAAGTGTCCACTTTTTCCCCAAGTCAGATGACACGTAGAGCTTTAGGGCAGAAAAAGGAGAAACAAAAACTTGGTCAGGACGTCAGGAATCAGCTGCTTCTGAGAGACGGAGATGTCCCTGACACAGTGCATCCCCCAGGAGAAGTCAGCCTTGTCCAGCGGACACGTGGAGGCGCTGTGCTCATGTTGGGGTGCAGACCAAACCCCACTGCCTCCAGGAGGAACCATTCCTGTCCCCAGTCCAGCTGACAGGAGCCGGGAGATGAGGCTCCCCAGGATGAAATCCAGAGGGGTCTCACGGAGGAGGTGCGTCTGAGCCTCGAAGCTGGGAGGGGCTTTATAATCCTGTGTCAGGATGCGAGGAAGGGCGTTTGGGAGGAAGGAGCCACGTGTCGCCAGGGCTGGAGCCGTGAACGGACAGCAGAACAGGACACAGCAGTGGCCCCGGGCAGGGGTGTGGCATCTGCTGCAGGGGTCAGTGCAGGTGCAGGTGGGCTGGGGCCTGATACCAGGGCCGGCCTCACAGTGTGTGACCAGTGCCACAGCCCAGGGACCTTGCTCAGAAGGGCCCCACACCTGGGGCTTAATTCTCTGCAGCCACCGACCTGAACTTCTTAATAATTGTGTCTTTAATTGGAGCTTTGGAAGTGAAGGCTGAGGGGGCAACAGAGTGTGTGTAGCGCTGATGGCCTGGGCTTCCTCTCCAGCCCTGTGCCCTCGGGATGGGTTCTCAGCCGCCTGTGCCCATGGTCCTATCTCCACACAGTGACCACCACGGACCTTGTCCCTGGTGAGTGCCAGGGCCAGGCCTGGGCCCAGGAAGGGGCAGGGGTGGGCGCCCTGAGCACTGTCTTGAGGCCAGCCCTGAGGGCCTGGGAGGGTGTCCCTGTGAGCCGGGGAGCACCATGTTAAATGGCTCATAAAGAATATGGTGACAGGCCCAGAGAGAGAGCACAGAAGAAAGGAAAAGCACTTTACCTGATGGTCAACATTTTTCACTTTGCACTGCACCCCGCAAATGACACAGCTGGCCCTGCCCAAAACCACCGGCCAAGACTGGATAAGATGAGGCGCTCAGGGGCTCCGTGGCCAGACAGTGTTTCAGAGAGCCCACACCAGAGGCTGTGGGTGGAGGCAGGGAGCCCTGAGGAGGCCAGGCCTGGGCCCAGCTGGGGGCGGTGGGAGGATGGAGAGGAGGACAGGGCTTGAGAGAGGCCTGTGCAGGCAGCTTGACAGGTCCTCTGAGGGTGAGCAGAGCAGAGAGGGTGAGAAGGTCCTTGGATCTGTGCCCTGGAACCTGGGAGGAGTGAATGGGGCCAGGGGTACTCAGGTCTGTGCCCTAGACCTGGGAGGAGTGGACAGGGCCAGGGGTACTCAGGGAGCCTACTCCTAGACCTGGGAGGAGTGAGCAGGGACAGGGGCGTCCTCGGGTCAGTGTCCCAGGCCTGGGAGGAGTGAATGGAGTCAGGGGGTCCTCGGGTCAGTGCCCCAGTCCTGGGGAGAAGGGAAGGGGCCAGCTAGTCCTCGGGTTCACAGCCAGGGCTCTGGCCTGGGGATCTCAGGTAGAGACAGGACCTTGATCAAGCTGTGAGTTTTGGAAATGCCAGGTGAAGTTGCCAGGGCCACGGGCAAGGCCCAGAGCTCCTCCCCTTTCCATGATGGCCCTTGGGAAAGGGCCTCCCCTCCTTCGTGGAAGAGACAGTCCTGGAGGGAGCCGAGATCTGCTCTGGCAGGAGGGAAGCCAGCTCTCCGGCACAGCGGCCTGTGGGCTGGCGAGGACATCTCTATCAGGGCACTCCTCCTGGCCACACCAAGCCCCACCATGCCAGGCTCTTCATAGCTCCATTCTCCATAGGAGAAACTGGCTATGGGTGCTGGAAATGCTACCCCAAATGTGGCATCTTGGAAACTGAGAAAACACCAGAAGCAGGAAGCCTATTCTCCGTTACCTCCCCTTTCTTCCCTGAAACAGCCCCTAAACCGAGGAAGGGCATCCCCCGACCTTCTCCCACCCTCTCCCGGAAGACCCTCATGTGACAGGTGTCCTGCTCAAGGCCCAGGGAAGGAATGCCGCACCAGGACGCTGAGAAGACGCTGGACACACAGCTTTGCTAAGCCCCACTCCCTTCCCCGCTGCCCCTCATCTGATCACACCCCTTTCCCTCCCATTGCACTTCTCCAGGACCAGCCTCTGTCCATCAAACCTAAGCATAAAGCATGAACTTCCTGTCTCTTTGGGTCTTCATTTCGAACACTCCCATGTCACAGGAGACGTAAATTACATGAATGTGTTGTGCTTCTGTCTGGCTCCTGTCTTTTGCAATGGAGGCCTCAGCCATGAACCTTGAGATGGGTGGGAAAGGAGCTTCCTTTTCTCCCTCCCCTGGAGCTCAGTGAGCAGGGGTGCTCTCTGAGGCGGTGGTGCTGGGTATGTAGCTGCCCATGACCATGATGGGCGCCATAGGCAGCTGCCACACTCCGGAGGCCAAGAGGAGGCAGGGTTCTATGTGTCATCTGACACAGGAGAGCCGGGACGGGTCCAGCAGGACAGGCAGGGGCTCAGGGGTCAGGAGCTGTGACTGTGCCCGGGCCACCTGGGCACTTGGGCCCTGCAGCCTGGGGTGGCAGCTGCTGTGTGTGCAGCCACTCCTGGTGGACCTGCCTTCCTTGCGTGCTGCTCCAGCCCTTCCAGTGCCTCCTGTGTTCAGCTCCCCCGGTGGAAGCTCTGGATGGGCCCCTGGTTTCTTCCCCCACTGAAGGCCAGCATCTGGCATCAGGCCAGCATCTGAGGGGTGTGGGGGTTTCGGCAGCAGAAGGAAGCCAGAGGCCATTCCAGGAGGAGGGAACAATCAAACACAGGCCCTGCAGCTGGAGATGCTGAGCACACAGTGGGGCTGGCTTTGGGTGCTGGCCCCCCATGGTGCCAAGGCCAGTGTCACCAGCAGGCTGGGCTGATGCTGGGGGAGGGGACAGAGCTCTGACTTCATCCCTTAGGGCTGGGGAGTTAGAGAAGGGTTTTAAGCAGGCAGCAAGAGCTTCCCTCCCTGGTGTATGGCAGAGGCACGTGACAGCTGTCACCGAAGCACGCCTGAGAGTGATCCCATGGCCTAAGAAGAATGTGCCTTCCGAGTTCCCAGCTAAGGAATCCGGGAGTGGCCAACCCCAAGACTCAGCCCTTACCCATGAGGAACAGGCCCTGGCCCATCCCTTGGAATGCAGGCCCTGCGGGGGTCGAGGTCCTCTGTTCTGGGTTGGGTGGAGGTTGCTAGGGGGAGGGTGCGGAGGGAAAAAGCTACATAAACTGAGACTTCTTACAAACAGGAGCAGCTCTCCTGTCCAGCCCACTGCCACCAGACTGTCCCTGCATGTAACTTCCTCCAATAAACCCTGTGTCTCATTCGCTGTTTCTGGGTCTCTTCTGTGGCCTCTTGGGCACAGTGCCATTCCTGCTGGAGTCAACAGGGGCCTGGCACAGCAACTGGGAAAGGCCTCTGCTCACTCCGGAGGAGATGAATGGGATGGCAGAGGGGCCTCCTGGAGCCAGTCTGACTTCCTCTTCTCTCTCCAGAGTGGCCAGAACAATCTCCTAACAGCAATGCCAGGAAGCCTGGGCTCCCGTCCTCACCTGGAACCAGCTACCTGGGCAGGCCTAAACTGGCTGACAATCCTCATCCTCACTCAGAAGATTGGATGATTCAGCTGGATCACGTGCTTTGGAAGAGTCTAGCCCATGTCTGACATGCAGTCCATCCACAACATGCGTTTGCCTTTCCCCGTCCTGGACAACAGGAGACTCAGTCCCTTTTCCCTTGCCTTTCCTCCGACTCCGGCTCAGTATTCATTTGCATTTCAATACGTTTCATCCCTAAATCCCAGGTGATGAGTGAACACAGACATTGGGGCTGGGCCAGCGATTCTATAACTGATGTCCCCAGTTCATCTTTGATTTGTGTTATGTTTTTGCCAGCTGCCCTTCTGGGGGAAGGGGCTGTATTGGTGCAATACGGCCCACACTGCATTTATCAGGGGAGGATGGACCACGTGGGGTTTAGGGGATCCTTTGCACCCCAGTAGCATCTTACGCTGAAATCCTTGTTACTGAAGCAAAGCTCAGAGCCCACCGTGTTTTGTTGCAGATTCAGGCGTGGGCCAGGAGAGGGCGCTGGCCGCCGCACAGGTGTGGCTGAGGGACGAGGCGGGCTGGGCTGGGCTGGGCTGGGCTGGGCTGGGCTGGGAGGGGAGAGAGGGCTGGACAGGGAAGCGGGGACCCAGGTCTGCAGAGCTGGCATCTACCTCCGTGTTATGGCCGCTGAGTCAGTTCCTTGCCTCAGTTTCCCCATCTATAAAATGATGCCCCAGCTGTAGCGTTTCAAAGGGGAGAGTCTGTGAGTCTAGGGTTCTTGGGCTCCAGCAGGCCTGGCTCCACTAGCACCCACCGTACACAGCGGGAGACCTTGCGTGCGTTCCAATGCTGTTCCGAGCCTCAGTTTCACCACTTCTTAAAACGGGAATCGGCCTCTGCTTTGAGGGATGTTGTGGGATCATCCAGGCACGTGGCAAAGCAGTTGCACTTGCCACGCACACAGCACGTTCTGTCGTGATCACTGCCTGATAACACCCGTAATAGCAGGATCCGCTCCACGTGCGAGCACCAGCCGGGCCCTTTGCCTCTCGAGGCGCCCCCACAACATCGCTAGGAAGTAGATGCTTCTAAAAATACCTCGTGCAGACGGAAGATGGAGGCTCGCAGCAATTGAGTGATTCGCCCAGGGTCACCCCCTGTCAGACCTGCACTTGAATTATCTGTGGTTTGAACGCACTTCTCTTTATTCCTTCTGTGATCAGGGTCTGTCTAGAATGAATCATGTGAGCACAGCAATTTCCATCACTGGCCCAGGAAGGAAGGACGGCTCAAGTCAACCACTCCACCCAGATTCTCCATCGGCATAACGGGCACAACATTCACACTAATAGTGGCCACATCTGCTGGATCAGATGCTGGCACGACTGACTTCTTCAGTGCCACGTGCTCCTTTTCTG